CGCTTATCCTGAAAAAAAAATGCCCCTGGAATATAACGACATACGATAGAAAAATGCTGGTGAATGTGCAGTCGATTAAAAATCTCATCCGCACCCCACTTTTTAATTCTACATACCTTCAAGGACGTAGATATTCTTGGCTCTTATCATTGCCGCTTCGTTATCGCCTCTAAATTTACATGAGTTCTTATGGGTTGTTTTTTTTTACCATTTCCTTCTCCACACGTTTGAATTCAGTCATTCTCTTAAGTTGATTCTTGCTTACAGTTACATTGATTCGGTTATACGGCTTATCGACTCATTTCAGGATATTTAAACTCCGAAATATTTTTAGACTGTTAAAAAAAAGATAATATTGGTTTACTGATGCAAGTCTTACTAACCAACACATACCTGGGAGAAAAGGGGTGGATTTATGCCTTTTCCCAAAATCGACGGGAATTGGAACTGACGGGAATTGGAACTAAGCCAATGGTTTAAAAATCCCGAGCCATTATACATTACATCATCGGCATATCTAATCTTACAATACCTGATTTCATCAAGCAGTCTCCCATCTAAGTACTGACCAGCCTTGACGTTGATTAATTTTGTTGATAATACAGAAACCGGTGTTTTGACATCATGTAGCCGTAATCCAACTATGGTTAGGGGTTCCGCTTACTCAACTATTTAATCCATAGGTGGGGTTGGGAAGAAGAAATATATACGTGTCTTTATTAAGGGATGTTTTGCGAAAGTGAACGCAAAAGATTAGGCCGGAATGTGAATTCGCCATTTAGCTACCAAGAAATATTAGCAAAAACCTATAATCCATTGTAATTCCGATGTTAAACGAAGAGATTACTGGCGTGTAAAGTGAGGTCAGGGAGATGAGTTCAAATACCGCCCGATACTGTTCTATTCACTTTCGTATAAATATCCTTGGGGAACATATGAGTCCATTTTCTCTTCTCATCACTAATTTTGATTTAAATTACAGAATGGATGGTCCAAGTCTACTATTTTAAGAGAATGATAATTGGAACGGGTTGAGTGTGTAGTTAGAAACACCAACCTACTTGGTACCGAAAAAATAGCATCATCGGCACGTGCAGGGAGGCGGTGGCCCTATTCTTTACTGGAACTGATAAATATCTAATCTTCAACAATGCCTCTTCTATACTACTTACTCTGTCGCATAGAAATCGTCACATTCATAATTTGTGTTTGAAAGGCTTTTAATAAATATGCTTTTCATCTCAGAAAAATCATGCACATTTTATAAAATAAAAAAAATACTAACTTAAAATTACGATAGTGATTTTCTAAGAGTAGCTTATATGTGGCATAAGGCTAAAAGGATGAAGCACCTAGTGTAGCAGAAATATGGAAAATAGAGTATCATATGTATTTTAAAATAAAAATCCACATTTTGACGAAAAACAATTTATCTCCTTTTAAACATATATATTTATATATCTATATATATATATATATGAAAGTTTCTCCGATTTATCCAGTAGAGAAGACAATATTTATGAATAAAAATGACAATAGGAAAACTGGTAATTGCAAATGCACTAGTCATACATAGAAATAAATTCAACCATAATTTTAATTTTAAAAATGCTACACTCCTAATAAAAGAAGAAAATAACTCACTCAGAAGCAAAATTCTGGAGAGTGCCGCGATAGAAAATTACCCAAATATTAATCTACGCCCAGGTTTTTTCCCCATTTCACCTTTCTTAACAAAATTACTGCTCTTACAAACAAATATACCCAACAGATTCATAAAATCAAAAGAAAATGGTTGAATACATGAACGCAGATATAATGACAATATTCTCCACACGTGACAAATACTGACGTTATTTTCAGTTAAAAAAATGAAAATAGCGTTTCTCTACATTCCAGTTGCCAGGTACATTCTGTTTTTGTTTTTCTCGGTAAATGTTATTTAATACTGTTTATCATAAACAGAGCATTTGCTTAAATACTTGTATCTATAAATAACAACGTTAAACATAAAAAATGTCTTTAATAAATATATACATATATATTCATACACGTTTCATTAAATAATATAGACAACTGTTGTCTATTTATTTAATGCAAATTTTTTTCGTAACATCTGATAAGTTTAATAACATTATCGTTGAATGAATAAATAATAACGATAATGCTATAAAACTTATCAGATGTTACGAAAAAAATTTACATAAAATAAATAGACAACATTTGTCAATATTATTTAAAGAAACGTGTATGAATGAAAAGATGCTGCCTAAATACACACAATATATATATATATATATCTCCGTGGGTAAGTAATCCAAATGAATCAAATGATATAAAATATTAAAACTGATCCACAAAAGAGAGCTCAATATATTTATTATAGAGCATAGAAATGAATTACATAAAATGAAATTCACTTGTACCCCATATAGACGGCCATTTTGCTCCTCGGTTACGTAATTCATATATATATACATATATATATATATATATATATATATATATATATATATATATATATATATATATATATATATATAACGAGAGAGGCAGAGAGAGACAGAGTGATAGATATCCAAGAGATGATTTCATTTGAGTGAATTTCACAGAATTAATTCTAACTTATTCACTATCTCTATACACACTCTTTACAAACACACACAACCCTCCACACATACATATGCACACACGCATAATATGTAACTATCTCTCAGTACATACATACTTACATATATATATATATATATATATATATATATATATATATTAATGCATGTTTCATTAAATATATATATATATATATATATATATATATATATATATATATATATATATATATATATTGGAATAATGTTTTGATACCACAAAACAAATATAATTATTTAAAGAAAATGAATTTTTTTATGACCATTTTTTTTTTTTTTTTTTTTTTACAGGACCTAGGTAGAGATTTCGGCCAACCTTCATCAGGGTCTTTCGTTGGCAAATGGTTTTAAACAATGTTTTTTGGGCGTTCTTTTCATTTCCATTGTTTGTTTAAAAACCATTTGCCAACGAAAGACCATTGAAGGTTAACGGGTCTCTAGGTCCTGCAAAAAAAAAAAAAATATGGTCATACAAAAGAAATTCATTTTCTTTAAATAAATATATATATATATATATATATATATATATATATATATATATATATATATATATATATATATAGGAAAATCAATATTTCCTGACTCAATATCTGCGCTGTTGACACAACTGTCTTAATAGTAATTCTCATGGGTTCGATTGCTTCAATTGCCACATCGTCTTGAAAATAAACATAATTAAAATTTGAGGCAAGAAATAGCTCGACCCAACCGTGAGACTTATGTTAATAGTCTGTTATCGCAGGCGTCTGGCTTGTCGATCAGTCTTCTGACTTCTTACTGTCCTGTCAACTATGATCTTCAAAAATTTAAATCATTCATCTTCTGTCTCCATGAAATTCTTTTATTGTCCCCTTTCGGCTTCTTCTGCTAAAGGGGAAAGTTTTACTTAATATGAGGAATAGGCAGCTGATATTTCTAGGTCACATAATGAGAAAAGAGGGTTTGGAGTATCTTATACTCGCAAGGCGGATAGAGAGAAATAGAAAAGAAAAGCAACGCGTGACGTGTTTACCAGGCTGAAGTAAGTGGATGGTAGTACAGGCTCTTGGAGAAGTAGCAAAAGAACAAAACATATTGAAAACTACAAGGGCTAGGAGATAGTGGAGAGCCATGATTGCCTACTTTCTGAAGGGGCAAGGCACATAAAAAAACAAGAACGTTTTCCGGCTTAGTCTAATTTATGGCATCGTTTGGGGTGAAATGATTAAACCCAATCGATTGTGGTACTTAAAATAGTTGCTACAGCTCTTAATAAATTCTGGTATAATAGTTACAGATATTTGTTACATTTTCGATGATTTATATATTAGAATTATAAAAGGTATGTTGATATTTTATTTTATTAGTTTACACCTTAATATAATCGTAAATTCTACAAAGTTATATTCGGATAATAAGGGAAAAAGAGACCAAAGACATATCAGGAAAGTTTCAGCTTTTCATTTTTTTATGTGCCATATCCCTTAAGGACGATCAAAACTCTCCACTTCTTCCTATCCTTTGTAGGTCTCAATAATATTCGTCCCTCATTCATCTCCTGTTTCACAATACGCTGCCCAGTTTTTCGAATGCGTCTTTGGCCATCCTAATCCGTCTTCGGATCTCAGCGTCACACTACTTACCGGCCTCCGTCAAAACATTTCCCAGATATTTAAACTTCCGCACCTGTTTGAGTTTAATGTCCCCGTCCTGCAAATCGCATTTCGGATCATCCTATTACTGATGACCATGCATTCGATCTTCTTGTAGTTTATAGTTAGTCCCTTCTTCACTCTCTCCTTCGCTACCCTCTGCAGGAGATTTTGTTATTTCTTTTTCAATGCTCATATTACGAATACATTAAGTGTGCTATTTTCACTATTTCTCCAATAATATTTAGCTGTTTATTCGTATTTAGATGATTTTTTTTCTATTTTTTCTTTCTCTGTTTACTCGCATTTGCAATTTGTTAATATTCCTACCTTATTCATGGCAATTTCTCGCCCCTTTCTGCTTCAGTTCCAAATTTTTTTTCGCCGTCAAATTACCTTTCTATTGGTGACACTGATTTGGACCCTTAACAGGGGCCATCATTTGTTTTAAAATAGAAAATATCATTTTTTTTTTTTTTTACTTTCTCATGTATTTTTCTTTTCTCTTTTTCTTTCGATCTTCTTTTCCTTTCTTTTTCCTTAATCTCTTAATCTTATTTCGCGCGCGCACACGCACATGCTCATGCCCGTACACGCACACGCCCGTACACAGACACACGCACGCGCACACCAGACGCAAACACTCAGACACACTTTTTTTCTCTCCCCCGCTGCCACCAATCAGTCATTGCTTCCTCTTTCATCTGTGCCCTTTCCTCTCATGCTAAATCCTCTGTCACATTCATTTCACCTTCTCTTTCCTTTCACGGATTTTCGTTTGATTTACCGCCTCTAATTCCTTTCCCCTTTTCTGCTTTCATCTATCCGTTCCTGCTTTCCCTCTTGTAATCCCTTACCAACGCGTGTCGCCCTTTCACATCTCATCCTCCAACTGCACTGCGAAGCCTCTTTTCCCTCGACTCTCCTTGGCTCTTCTTACTCTCCTTTCGTTTACCGCCTCCCCTCTTCGTATCTGGCTGATCGCTCAGCTTCTCCGTCATACATCAGTGCCCGTTGTTCGCAACTTACTTGCCCTTCTCCCCAATTTCAATCTTTTCTGCCTGCACATATTTCTCTTTCAACCATTCAAAGTGCGTCCCCCCCACTTCAGTCCGTTCGTCTCTGGCGCTGTGTAACAAATCAGCAGACCCCTCGACCCACCGTCGGGCAGATCAACCATAGTTACAATCCCGCACGCTTCGACGATTAAAGGGATCGCCCACCCAACTCTTGCACCTTCTAAATCCCCAAACCTTTATTTTCGTATCTGCCCCACCCACAGCAAATTGAGCAGGGCTTTCTACCTCGCAGGCTTTTCACTGGCCTTTCTCTGCCTAGAAATAGTCAGCTTTATTCAAACACACACATACGCACACATACAAATTTAAATAAAACTTTGCTCATACATAGATGTGCTTTCACTGACATGTATGTACACACATCAAAAGAAACGCACATATACTCAATTATATGAAGATGTCCATAAATATCTGCGTATGTGTGAGTGCATAGTTTGTTAAAATCAAAAGACAGGAAGCTTTAAAAAGGTTTTTGTTAACTTACTTTCCTTAAGTACAAGTGGGCGCATGTCGAAGCCGAATGTACAGTGTAACCCGGATATAAGAGACCCGGATATAAGAGAAACCCGGATATAAGAGAGATTTTCTCTGGTCCCAAATAAGAGCCTGTGTTAATGTAAACAAAATAGACCAAACCCGGATATAAGAGAAACCCGGATATAAGAGACTGCTTCTCCGGTCCCGACAACTGTCTTATATCCGGGTTACACTGTATGTGGCAATACGTTGTGGAAAATGTGAATTCGGCTCTTCTCCCCCAGCTATAGATTAAATAATAACAACCAGTTAAGAAGATGGAAATCTCTGAATTGCAATCGTGGCAGATTATCCGTACAACTTTTTTGTATTTAGTTCTTTCGAAAAGTGAGGATGATTCTGCACGAGTAATCACCGCTTTTACCAAATCATAATTTGGCGTAGTCCGTCTGTTGGGTTTTAGAACCTAACGACAAAAGAGTTCATCATGCACACAGACGCATATACCCATCTATCTATCTATCTATCTATCTATCTATCTATCTATCTATCTATCTATCTATCTATGTCTCTGTGCCACTCTTTCTTTATTTCCATATATATATATATATATATATATATATATATATATATATATATGAATAGTGGTACTCGCTTAGAAATAGTGAAACCTTTCAACCATGTTGTCATTTTCAAAGTACAGGTTTATGTCTTTCTCATATTCAAATACTTAAATATCAGCGGAGACGTTATATTTTGCGATGATGTGGCAAGTATGTGAGAGACACGTGTGATCTTTCATTGACAAATGTAAGCATGTTATCACTAACAATGGCAGCTCTAAAAAAGAAAAAAAAAGAGATAAAAAAATACGTTTTCACAAATTCGCCTGTTCACTGCGGGAATTGCACACAACCTGACGCACAAGCATTGAATGCGTACATAGAATAAAAAGACACGCATACATTCACAGAATGATTTTCTAAGCGTAGTTTAAATGTGGCAAAGGCGGAACGATTGGAGCACTCAGTGAGGATTGAATTCACTATTCAGTCATAATTGATCTAGCAAGATAAGCAAATGATTATATATATATATATATATATATATATATATATATATATATATATATATATATATTGTGTATTTAGGCAGCATTTTTCATTCATACATGTTTCATTAAATAATATAGACAGTGTTGTCTATTTATTTTATGTAAAATCTTTTCATAACGTCTGATAAAAGTAATAACATTATCATTAAACGTAGAAAGAAAATAATCCATATTTTTTTTAATCCAATCTTAGTTATTAAACTTATCAGACGTCATGAAAAGAATTTACATAAAATAAATAGGCAACACTTATCTATATTATTTAATGAAACATGTACGAATATATACAATTTATTTAATGAAACATGTATGAATACATATATATATATATATATATATATATATATATATATATATATATATATATATATAAATAAAAAAAGTTCTACCTGGATTCTATCCTCTTGGAATTTTTATTAAAAAATATATATGTATGTGTATGCATCTAGGTATATATATTTATATATTTTGCACATATTTGTGTATATTTACCACTAATATTATCTATCTATCTATCTATCTATCTATCTATCTATCTATCTATATATATATATATATATATATTAACAATTATAACAAAAACCTGTTATAAATCAATAGATAATGATGTTTCAACACTGTGGGTGCTTCTTCAGGCGGCTGTGGACAATAAACGATCATTTTATGGATTAAAAGAAACAACAGCTTCGCAGGAAGGAGAGGGAGGGGAAAAACTAATTTTCTAATTTGACAGGTTTATTGGTAGAAAAAAAGTTATGCTTACTATAAGTAACCATGTTGTGGAATCCGTTTTAAGTTAGCTAATAGAATCTTCAGGATAGCGGCTCGGATTGATGAATCAGAGAGCCGAGTTCGAATTCCAGTGGTATCCATTACGTTCACTTACGTGCTAATACCCTTGGGAAAGGTATGAATCTTCTTCGTCTTTTCCCAGCTATGGGTAAATAGTAGGGCGGTTTTATAACCTTGGGTGGCAAGCGGCCAAGGTGAAGGAAAAACTCTGAATTCAAAAGCGGTCTGGAGAGGTTAGTGCTCGGTCAGTCTATATTACCCAAGAAACACCACTTCTACTGTGGCGGCAGTGGTGTTCCTACAACCCCACGGGCCACGGAATAAAAAATAACTCGTTCGTAATAACTTATCCTTTGCTTTCGTCTCGATAGTTTATATTTTTATGCTATTTTCTTGAGTTAAGAACAAGGAATACTAGAAACGTGACAATTGTTAACCTCTATGTTTGATTTTAATAGCTTGTGCAGTCAATAGATATCGAATACGGAATTAACTTCGGACTTAACATAGGTCCGACATTTGATTTGTTAATCTAGGTCGACCCCAGGCATGTTAGAAATTTATTTTTTTCCCTTCCCTGTGAGGGTATTGCTGCTTTCAAACCAAGGGTCAGCAAACTTTTGCTAACATACATAAGAATTACAACTGCGTATGTATGTATGCCCTAGCGCATGCCTCGGATTATTTATATGGGTGCGTTTGCGTAAACTAAAATGAGTACACCTGTGTGTGCGTGTGTGTGTGCGTGTGTGTGTGTGTGTCATCACGAATAGACACGGAGAGAAATTCCCCCTCCTACCACCAAACAGAGTCAAACAAGCATAAATGGATCCAATTTTTTAAAAATAAACCAATTTGTCTGCTGATCGCAAAAGCATTGAACCCAGAGTCACAAACTCATATCCATAGAACTGAATATGTTAGCTCTGTTACTGATATTGATCGCTTTCCACTAGTACTGCGAATATAAAATAATATATATATATATATATATATATATATATATATAAGATTAATGATCAGAGTTGACACCGAACAGGAAACCGTAGTATTAAAAAAAGTGCTCAATACACATGTGAAAATATAAAATAAATGTAAGAAAAACATGTAGAGCTTTTAACTTTTTTTCTTTTATTATATATATATATATATATATATATATATATATATATATATATATATATATATATATATATATAACAATTATTCGCAATGATTCTTCCCCCCGTTGAGAAAATTTACAAATTCAAGTGCCCATTGGGAGATTGTATCTCCAACGAATTAAATAATATTTATGTTGGTCACAACACAAATTCGCTATCACGATGCTTGACACTACATTTGAATTATAACTCTAACATATTTAAGGCGTTTAAAACAACATGTCTGGCTGCGTACACAATTCCTGAAAATCCTTGTTGAAAACACAACTATACTTAAACATGAAAACAATAAACAAAAACTGAAATTCTTGAAGTTATATACATAACATATACCAACAGCTTCCCATACTTAACACTTGTCGTTTTCACTCTCGCGTTGTCATGTGTGACGTCAAGAGTTGCGCTGAGATTTTCGCTTCCAGCGTCTTATATGCCCGAGTTTGTCGTTGATTGGAAATTTTCCATGTAAGCAGAAACAGACTTTCAAACTATCATTGTCCGTGTATGGCTTAATATATTGTAATGTAATTGTCAACTTTGATAATGGCTTATGTAAGTCGAAAGATTAGATAGAATTAAAATTATGTATCAATATTGTGATTTTCTTTCTTCATTTAATGATAATGTTATTAAGCTTATCAGACGATACGAAAAGAATTTGCATAAAATAAATAGACAACACTTGTACATATTATTTAATGAAACATGTATCACTATATATATATGATTTCATTTACTTTTTCAATGCTTCTAACCTTTTTATTCGTATTTCTGGTTCGTAATTTAAATATGTGTCTCCATATCATGGTACATTCAACTAACATGTGCCATTTTCTAAAGATTTTTTTTTCTGCTTGTTGTGTTATCAATTTAAGTATACAAGCCCTAAACAACAACAGAAATGTAAAAGCGACTAAAATTAATCGAGGCTTGGAATATAAAAAATCAAGCAACCAAAGGTCAGAAAAATTCAGTCAAAACTCTGTACACAACATACAAAATATATTTGATTACAAAACTGAAAACACTAACTCGCACGTGAATACGCTGCAAATGCCAACACGCTAAAGGCGAAATAACAAAAAGAACAAACAGACAACATTGACAAAACAAGTCTTTGTAAATTGTTAACTCTACAGAATATGAGTAGATCGGTTTGCGTATCGCCTGGTTCACGCTTCTCTTCGGTATTCTGAACAGGTGTAGGGGTTAATCCCTTGTTCTCTGTTTACAATTCAGTATCTGTTTTTTTTTTCTAATGTCTACTTTAACTCTATACTTCTAACGTCTTCGTCTAAAAGTTGAAATTTTATTAACAAATTAATGTTTTCTAAAATCTTTTCATTCTCTTGTACTCCCAGTAGTCCCTTGCGTCTAATAGCATTTTAGTCTTGCTTGGGGTGAATTGATTGAAAAGTAATGGTGAACACGTGTATTAACAATAAAAAATCTAAAAAATGGTTTATGAACGGAACATGTTATTTTGGAATTAATAAAAGTCACAATTCATATATATATATATATATATATATATATATATATATATATATATATAAACAATGATCCTCTGAGCTCTGGATAAAAGTGCGAAATTAATATATGAAGTGTTCGTACGGCTAGGGTCAAGAGACTTCCTTAAAATATCCCCTCTTCTACTAGGTACTAAGTGTATGAAGTTTCTTACAAATGTAGTCTCTATTGAGTGATTAAGTAGCATCGTGTTCCTATATTTACCTAGATTATTTATCATTTTCTTTATTAATTTGGGAATTTTACAAGCTTTCTTTCTAGCATTATACATGAAATAATTTAGATATTATAAGAGTTTAAAATTATTCTCAGTGTATTTTTTACATCATTTAAGTATTTAAGTCTATAAATCCAAATTGTGCGTAAGCAGAAACCTATAATAATCCCTGTTTTTATATTGTTGTGATGTGAATAAATTTTATGAGTTCAGTTTTCTTGGAGACTATTGGATAGACACTTAGTCTTCGGACGTTATCAGTACGGTTTAACATGACTATCAGTTAATACTAATGAATGTTGGTTTCACATTCAAACGTAAATACCTTGTATGGTTAACTTTGCTTAGAATTTATATATTTTCTATATAATTTATTTACAGGGTAATATTGTTTTATGAGGATATATTTATAAAGCGTCATAGATATATTGGAAATATACTAATAAATTTATAACATATTTTAGGGTTTCTGGAAATTTTAACAAATAAATGGTAAAACAGAGTTAACAGGTCATTTAATAGGTACTCGATATATATATATATATATATATATATATATATATATATATATATATATATATATATAAGTAGACATTGAAGTCAACACCCAGAAGCGACTGCCTGTTTTATGCTAAACGCCATCATCAGGCCATATATATATATATATATATATATATATATATATATATATATATATATATATATATATATATATATATAAAAGCATGACAATAGGGAAACTGTAATATTAGCTGACGCGTTTCGTCCAATATGGAACGCAAGAAGGAAGTAATACAACATATACAACCGAAAGAAAAATAATAACATAATCTGTAATAATAAATGACATGAAAACAGATACATAATACTACCGACCAAACTATCCCAACTAAATTATCATAAAATAGACACAAACACTTCCAAAACCATTATGGATATACTCACATCCTCAAACACTAATAGCA